GATTAGATACAATACGATACAGAGGGGATAAAAAACACTAGTACCAATACTATCTCTCCTATTTTCATGCTTTTATTATTATTTCTATTGCAAGGACAAGCACCATGGTTGTTGGCGCTTGTCTTGTATTTCAACACTGTATTGTTGTAGTACAGTACGTTGACGAGTACAGTAGTTTCCTGTTGTTTAACGTCAAACTCCTAAGTGATGCATTGGTTTTTCCTGTTGTTTAACGGCAGAATTTTGATTACTTAGAGAATGCAAGGAAATGAGTTTACAAAATTGCAAAATGCAAGGAAATGAGTTTACAATTCACTAAAAACGGAAATGTGCAAGGARATGAGTTTATGTCATTTGTAAAACAAGGAAATGGGWTAAAAGTCCGCCATACTCCCCTTCAATTGTGGTTAACATAAATTTCCAAAATTCTCCATGCTCCTGCTCATCGTCTGTTTGTCAACACTATTTGTACRATATCAGTTATTTCAAAGTAAAATGAGTTAACSGTAGAATCCTATCACGCCCTACAGGGCAAAAGGGCATTCTACTCAAACACTAAAAATTACTACCTCCATCCAGATATAATTGTACACTTTGCAGTAGTACTCAATTTGCCCTCTCGTTATCTATAACTTTGGCAGACCAGTTCTAAGCTGCCAGAGCATCATTTGGCTTCCCAATGACATGGATCTATAAGTAATTATACTCATCAACAATGGTGAGTGTGTCAAAACAAGTGTTGCGTTTGTGTCATGCAATGAGTGTCGATRCATGATTAGACGTTGTTGTTGCATGTGCAATGACAATTTGTTGTTCAAAGGTGTTTGAACAGATGGGTTTTGGTAGAATCATGTAACGAGGAGAGAGCACACCTAAAAAAAGATCACCATGGTGGTGATAATTTTTATCGGAAGGGTGTCATAACCTGTGGGAGTGACTATCTAATAGTGATGTAAATTGTRCGCTAGAACAAAAGTGAGTCAATTCTCTTATTGAGGATCAATGAACTATGAAATCTAAAGCCAATCAGAATGAAGATCAAGTGATGTGTGAATCGAATGAGTCATGTCAGTCATGTACATGAATCAAGTGAGTCATATCAATCATATGGATCCATAGGATCAAGTGAGTCATCTATGTTTGGTGTGTATGAATCATWGGTATKTAACGTATGTACATAACATAGATATGAATCATACCTGCGGTCTGATATCCTACTGACAGCAAACTTGGACTGGGTTCTTAGTCTGGTGGTCTATAGTTGTTTTTCAATAGAGTTCTGGCCTATTTTCTAACCAGCAGCTTGTCTCCACTCCCCTTTTTGTTTGGCCATACTGGCTGTTGATACAGAATTCCCCCCCCCCCCCGGGCTCTAATTGTGCAACAATGACACAGGACACTGTTTCCAACACTATGACTGAGCTTATCCCCAAAGGGGAGGACATTAGAGGAGGCTATTCCAGAGCAGTTCTAATTGTCTTACTACGCTATTTGTGGTCAAAAAAGTGACCGAATACTAGTAGGTCTATGTAGCTTTAGTACTAAATGCTGGGCTTCAAAATTAACTGTAATTTTACTACTAGTAGTATTAATTTTTGGTGTTTGAGTATGATGCCTTTTTGCCCTGTAGGGCTTGGTAGGCTTTGGTGGTTTACACATTATGTATCAAATTGACTGGTGCATACTTCTGATCTATTCTCACAACAAGAATTACGTAGTAAGTAAGGTACGTACTTGGAAGTACTGTAGGTATCACAAACCAGGCACCTTATTCAAATTGAGTCACTCCTGGAGAGCTACCAATTGGCCAGGAAATCAGTCCTGTAAGACTTAAAAGGGAGAAAAAAAGAGCAAATAACATTTCATACAGTTCATTTGATATGCCTCTTTGAGATTCGTCACCATACTTTGGGGGGAGGTAGCTACTATTTGGAAAAAATCTTTTTCTACTAACTTGCTGACAAATAAATATAATTCATCAATTACTAGTAATTAAATTTATTTAATTAATTACTTAATGAGGCAAGACTGGTACCTCAAACTATTCTGATACTGGGCTGGAGTACTATGTGTGATATCATGCAATTTTGACCAGATGACTGGGAGAGGGTAGTCAACAAGCATCATGCAAAGTTGTACCCCTTTAGTAAAAACAAGACCTCTGTCAGGAACAATT